GCCACTCATGACAAAACCATTTTTCATCATGGGATTCTTTTTTTTTATTACATAAATAAAATATTTTGATATGTTACATCCATTAAAAAAAATAGTTGCTGAATAGACAAATGTGATGAAATAGATGAAAAATCTAATCTAGATACTATTTGCAATTGAGTGAATGCTCTTTAATGGTTTCATACGCGTGATATTTCCTGCCGAAACGACAAAGTTGATTAGCGATCCCTAAGTGAAAAAGTCACAAGCCAAATCTAACAAGATCTTATAGATTCTTATGTATACAAGAGTTTTTCTATGATTTCGTCATAAAATTCAATAAGCATGTACACTCCTGGCCATACAGGCTCTACGATTAGAGAGGGGAAGCGGGAGTATTTCCCACCGCTATTTTTTTTCTTATGTATTGGCTTTCTCCCTGACAATTTTAGGAACAGAGCGGTTTTTATCCTTTAGTAAGCACGATGAGCTATACACACACAAACTTGTTGTATTTTCTGATAGAAAATAGTTTTCTCTGAATACCCGCAAAGAGAACTGCTTGCTGCATTACATACGAACTATTTTCTACCGATGTGTGTTATTTTCTCCTGCAATGTGCACTATTTTTTCTTTAGTTTGAACTAATTTCTGTTTGAAATTTTCAAACAGAAAATGAATCATTTGTAAAGGAAATAAAAACAGGTAAATACTATCAAGGACATTTCTTGATCGAATATCTCTACTCTAAGTTTACAATATTTTATGTCAAGATTGAAAATATGTCCAGCTCTCAGAAAGGACTTTGTCCTGTTTGTTGAGTACGTGTTCAAATGAAAAATTTTAACCGTCACTGGTGTACTCATCATGAACGAAATGAAAGAAAAAGATCGATTAAGTGAAGATATACAACAAGAATGCCTAACAACAATTATTCAACAAAGTTTTGATACATTTTATTCTCCATTAATAAGTTCAGATATTTACTTGAATGAAAGCAACAGCAATGGTTATGATGATATGATCATATTATGACAAATATTTGAAGACATATTTGCTCAATTAGAAAATGAATATCATGTTTTTCATATAAATTTTGTTATCAGAGAGTACGAGTAGGAAGAGGAAAGCTACGGGATTTCCCCCGCAAATTTTTTTCTTCTTGTTTAGCATTCTCTCTGGAAATTTTTCGAAGAATTAGAGTCTTTTCATATTTTGATAAGCGATATAAGCTTTGTACAATCGGACTAGTTGTTTTCTCTAATGTAGAATAGTTTCTCTTAATATTTCTACGAAAAGTATCTTTTCTCTTTCTAACTAATCTACTTTCTCTTTGCCATGAACTATTTTCTTGTTGCTAAACTATTTTATCTTTGCAATCAACCTATTTTTCCTGTAAAATTAATTCATTTTCTCTTTAAAATTTTCTACTGAAAAGCATTTCCTATGTAGCCATAAGTCCCTAAATACGTGATACTTCCTCATAACCTCAATAATTTTCCACGAAATTTTTACCAGAGATAGAGCTTAAAACACTGTGATCGTAAGCATCAACCCGAGCTTTATCGACTAACATAGTATGGAGTTATGATTCAAACATTAGTTTCACTGTTTACTTATAAATCAATCTTCACAGTTTTTATGAAAAAATAATCGCGATGCTAGAAGACTTGTTTATCTCATAGTTGTTTCTTAACTCGTTAATATTAGTCGACTATTCTTCAGAGATACCTTTATTGAGCAATAAATGTTCACTGCGTATTCCTGTAACAACTTACGAAACAGCCTAAAGATTAAACAAGACCTTTAGTATCACGAATGTTTTTCATAAAACCTGTGAATATTGATTTACAAGTAAACAGTGAAACTAATGTTTGAATCATAACTCCATACTATATCAGTCGATAGAGTTCGTGTTGATGGTTGCGATCACAATTTTTTAAGTTCTATCTTTGGTAAAAACCTCGTGGAAAATTATTGAAGCTATGAAGGAACATCGCACATCCAGGAACTTATGGCCAGTAGTGTATTAAAAGAATTGATTTAAGAGTATATAAAGAATTTGAAAACAAATAGTTCACTACGATTGTTTCTCGTTGAAAATGCTTATATAAAACCATACTGTAATAAGTTCACACAATGTTCATCAAATGTCGAATATTGTCTTGCTAAATGTTCAAATTCATTGGTTATTATCTTTTCTGCAGAGTAGTCAAGACAAGAACAATATACAAACGGACTAGGCATTTTATACTAACCTAGCAGATTTGTCGATATTTCAGACTAGTCATGTTGTTTATTTAGTTCGTGCATACATTGACTAACAACAGATAAAACTAAACAAACCAACTGTTATATTGAAAAAGAAGAAAAAATTATTTATCTTATCCAGAATATTATATTCTACTTCATCATACGCATTATATCGAATTGTAAGTAAAGACAAATATACAACGAATTTGGAAATCTTACCCAATGAAATCTTACTTCATCTGTTCCAATATTTTAATAGTATTGATCTTCTTCATATATTTTATGGCCTCAATTCACGTTTCAACTTCCTTCTTTACAAGGAAGTTCGATTCTATCGTGTCAAATTTACATTTGTGTCTAAGCGTCATTTTGATATGATATGTCAACAACATTTACCATTCATTGCTAATCGAATTATTGCACTTGATCTATCTGATCACAGAGACACTCCACAACAAATTGTTCTATTTCTGTCTTATATACCATCATTCAGCCGATTTACTCAATTGCGATCATTGACATTATTTGATCTTCATTCATATGAATCATTATTGAAACTGTTAGGTGAATGCTGTCATTTAAATAATCTCACGCATTTAGACATTCATTCTTGCTCTCTTTCAATTGATCAAGTCAATTTCCAATTAATTGTTGACAATATTTGGAGTTTACCAAAACTTATTAATTGCAGTTTGTACATTAAGTTCCAAAAATATCACCTTCTCTATCTACCAACAATTATCTCTTTATCTCTTGAATCTATAACTATGTATTACGGTCAACTTAAAATGAATCAGATAAACCAATTATTCAAATACACACCTCGTTTAAAACATCTTCAGACAATTGGGACTTCAATTAATGATGATTATATGCCATCTCCACTTACAATATTAATTGATTTGAACATTTATTTTTCTGATTGTTCTGATTATTCGAAAATGATTGTCTTCTTACAAAACATTCCTAATTTACGTTGTTTGGACATTAACATACCGTCTGAATTGATCGATGGTCATCAATGGGAATATATCATTCGTATTTACTTGCCCAAACTTAAAACATTTCGACTCAAAATGTGTAAAAGACTTCCTTTCGACAATATTATACAAGAATCCATCGATAGATTGATTGATTCATTTCGAAATATATTTTGGATTAATGAGTGTCAATGGTATGTTCGATGTTTTGCGTATAATAGACGTATTCACCTACATACTGTATCTCAGTTGATTAGTTGGTTTCCTGCTACGTGTTTGGACTTATGGCGATCGACATATCCACATGATAATCATGAAATATTTCATAATAACATCGATGGCATTTATGATGAGACATTTTTTAACATACCAATTCCATCTCACATTCGTTTATCTAACATTGAACATCTTCATATAAAATTTCCTATTAATGATCAATTTTGGTCGATTGTTCCAAGTTTAAAGCACCTATACTCGCTTACAATATCATCCTATGCTGATACTTTTCAATTTCAATTGCAAGATTTATTTAATCGAGCTCCTTATCTTTACGCACTAACTATTCGTCAAGATGTATCATTATCTTTACAAATGTCATTGTTCACTTGTACGAATATATGCATTTGTCATCTTGATCTTCGCGACTATAATCATTATTTTAATGAAGAAGAATCTATTACATTGAGTCATTTATCTCTTACTACTCAATGTGAAGTTCTATCTATTAGAGTTCATAATCGTGAAAGTATTATTATTCTTGTTACGAATCTGATTCATCTTCGAATATTACATATTTGTTGGAATGATGAAAACAATTCTGAACAATTCCAATTAACAGAAAATAATGGTAAATGTTCTGGTAAAAGAACACAAATTTTAGATGAACTTGTTCAATGGTTAAAAGATCGATTACCATCAACATATTTGATCAATAATGATCCATATTATGATCATGATATTTCAATATGGATTTGAAAATTAAAAAAAACGATAAATACACATCAATTCTAATCATAAACAGACATTATTTCGATCGGTTGAAATTAATAATAATGATATTTTGTGTCTATGTATTTGTGTTTTTATATAATTTTGTTCACTGTATTCAATAGCAGACATTTCATATATTATTTTAATGCGATGATCAGCAAGTAACTAGAGGCATTAACCAAATCGAGAATTGTAGATTAAGCAGCTTAGTGTAACTAGATCATTATTGATAAATGAGAAGTGTATCTGTACCAAACTTATTATTCAGGAAAACGTTGTATCCAAATCGTTGAATAAATTGAGGAATTCCATTTCGAAATGCTTTACTATA